ACATCACTCAGGTCAAGACAATAGTCTAGACTATTTTATTAATCATAGATTTGTCCTGGTGCAAACATGTTATGGTCTATAGTCAAGGTTGCATGTGGCAGTGTTAGGCCTTGAGTCTTGTGCACCGTAAGAGCAATTACATTCTGCAGCGGAAATTGACACTTTGATGCCGGTATGCCATTGATATCAAAATTCGTAACGCTTTTCTGAACGTTGATTTTATCTTGATTTTAACTCTTTTCTCTAAAATGTTAACGAAGGTAAATAAAATTTTCATTATCAATTAATTGAAATTACTACCAATATTAATTATCAATTAAATAAAATTGATTTAATCTTGACTATAAATTTATTCACTTTTATTTTATTTTTTATTTTGTTTCCTAAAGCTAAATTATAATAATATTTCTTATATATAATAAACTTACAGTTTTTGATTCCTGTTAAATGATGATGTTGTGAGATATCATTTTGGTTAATTAACAACCATGGCTTAACTTTTATTAGTTAATTCACAATAATTTGGTGCTTGTCAATTAATTAGTTTATGAATTTACATTGGTTCTCAATTACTGCACCTAGATGAATCTGTGAGCACACTTAATGGTGCCATATAACCATAACTAAATAATGATAACCCTTTTGCACTGCTATAAAGGTGCATTCTTATCCAGTGAAATGTTTGCACACCTATTGGAGCAACATATGCTTGCCAGGGAAAATATCTGTGTACTTAAGGTAACTGAAGTGGATGGTAGAGTTAAACTTTGTATTCAATGAAGAGGCATTTTGCAAGGGGAATTGAGTTCTTGAAGCATATGATCCATGATAAATAATTAAAAGAAAGTAGCCTTTATTTACAAGGCAACAAAAAAAAAGTTTTTTATAAAGAATTTGTTTTTAAGTATATAAATTGTTAATTATTTTTTACAAAAGCAAAAAAAGAAGTGAATCACTCAAATCTTTTGCAAAAACAGTTTTAAATTAAGTAAAAATTGTTTGTAACATTATTGATACCATTTTGTCTTTGAATAATCAATTAGAATATATGTCAAATATTTTAAAAATTCAAAAACATTAATATATTAATAATAAACAAATTTATCTTTATAAAAATTTTATTATATTATATTAATGATAATAATAATAATAACAACAAGAAGAATGGTGATAGTCACTTCAATCACAAGGAAGGGTTTACTCTAATTTAAAATAAACAAAGTATAAAGCATTTAATATTTTAATTAATTGCTAAAAAATTTTTTTTGATAATATCTATAACAATAAAATGATTTGATTTTATTATATATTAATTATTAATAACCCTGAATTTTGATATCTTTCTAATATTTTTCTTCCATCACTTTCTAGTAAAAATTCAGGCTTAATATACTTAATAAACTTATAAAATCCTATTACTAAAGGTTTGGGTCCTCTCCAATTCTTCATTAGAACATCCAAAGAATGGTTGCTAACATTATAAACATTGCAAGTAAAAGTTATTGACT